AAGTGCTCTACCACTGAGCTACAAACACAGCCCACTTAAAAACATTTAAAGTTAAAACCCTAATTCTACCTCCCAACAGTATAAAAACCTTAGTATGCTCTCAGCACCCTTCTTTTAACTTGTTCTGTAGTATTTTAGTTTTTTTTAACTTCAGAAATAATATTTTGGGGGCTGGGGATGTGGCTCAAGTGGTAGCGCGCTCGCCTGGCATGCGTGCGGCCTAGGTTCGATCCTCAGCACCACATACCAACAAAGATGTTGTGTCTGCCGAGAACTAAAAAATAAATATTAAAAATTCTCTCTCTCTCTCCTCTGTCACTCTCTCTTTAAAAAAAAAATAAAAAATAATATTTTGTTATCATCACCTGATGAGGGCAAAGATTTATCAAATCACTTAACTATTTTCTCCTGTATATCACACTGTCCTTTTGGAGTCATTTTTTATTCCTTTAATGATCTTCCTTATTTGAATGATTGTCTGCTGATTGTAAACTCTCAGTTGTGTTTATCTGAAAATGCCTTTATTTTCACCGTGGGTGATTCTTCAAATAATTCTGTTTTTAGAAAATTCTGACTTAACAGAATTGTTTTTTTCTCAACACTTAAAAGATAATCCATTAATGCTATTGGGAAGATACAAGTCATTCTACTTGTCACTTTGTGGGTGAATTCCTTTTTCTGCTTAGAAGATCTTTTCTTGGTCTTCTGTTCTATGCATTTTCAATGAAGATGTGTCTAATTGTGGATTTTTTTAAAACTAAATATTTGATGAACTTCATATATTTGCAAGTTAGTTATTTTATCTGATCTGAAAATTCTCTAACATTTTCTCTTCCAATGCCACTCTTTTTTTTTTAAAGAGATTTTTTTAAAGAGAGAGTGAGAGAGGAGAGAGAGAGAATTTTTTTAATATTTATTTTTTAGTTCTCAGGGGACACAACATCTTTGTTGGTATGTGGTGCTGAGGATCGAACCTGGGCTGCACGCATGCCAGGCGAGCACGCTACCGTTTGAGCCCCCCAATGCCACTCTTAAACCCAAATTGGACCTGGTCTGGACCTCATTTATAGAAGGTCCTGCTCTGTTCATCCTCCATCCAACATTCTTCTACATCTGACAAGATGTCCCCGGAACCAAGCCATTCACTTATCTCTGACAACTGAGTATGCCTCCCAGAGCCTCCTTCCCCATTTCCAGACCATATTTTAGGACCTCCTGAATTTCCCTGCCCAGCTGTTTCATAGCCCACTTCCATATTCTCTCTGGGTTCCTTCTGTGGGCAGGTTTCTTAAAAGGTAAAGCATATGCTTGGATGTGTACCACATGTCCTCAGGGTGGTCAAAGCACTGTGCTAAGTCGTGTATGGATACAGCTTGGATATATAGGCTGAAGTGTCTACATTCATTGATACAAAACCCAAGACAAGGTGAGGTACAGGCCCTAAGAGGCATTGCTTTATTCTTTTGAATTATTTAGCACAGGATTCTTAGAAGCCCAAGTAGTCTAAATTTGATCCTGGCTTTCTGCATTGTCACAAAGGTATAATTATGGGGCTGGGGATGTGGCTCAAGCGGTAGCGCGCTCTCCTAGCATGCGTGCGGCCCGGGTTCGATCCTCAGCACCACATACCAACAAAGATGTTGTGTCCGCCGAGAACTAAGAAAAAATAAATAAATGTTAAAATTCTCTCTCTCTCTCTCTCTCTCTCTGTCCCCCTCTCTCTCTCTCTCTCTCTCTCTGTCCCCCTCTCTCACTCTCTCTTTAAAAAAAAAAAGGTATAATTATGAAAGTGGGAGGATAGAACATAGTTTAAGAGTTTATTAACTTTGTTTTTAACTTTTAAATATTAAGACATATGTATAGGCCTCCATTTGTGCTTATTCTAGGCCCTAAAAATGTAAGGGGTAGATCTTTGCTCAATATTCTCTACTTGTAGGTCTTTAGTAAGCATGTTAGACTTTCTTGTTCCATGCTTCTTATTTCTTAGCCTATTGTATTTTCTGCCTTTGTTTTTTATGATTATCTTGGATAATTTCTTCAAATCTATTTTCTTTTGTCCTTTTGTTACACAGTCTGTGGGCTAATAGCATCAACATTGCAGGATCTTTTAGAAAGGCAGAGCTGGACCCTCAACCTACCAATCACGTTTTTTATTTTAGCAATTTCCCCAAGTAATTTCTATGCATGTTAAAATTTGAGAAACACTACTTCAGTTCTCTAAGTCTCTCTTCAGCTGGTGCCTAATTTGCTATCTAACAATTCA